TGCCCTTCTTAATTTTTTTTTATTAGACTATTTTTAAGAGCAGTTTTAGGTTCACAGCAAAATTTCATGAGGTACAGGAGAGATCTCCCATATACTCCTTGCCTCTGCTAGGTTCCCCCACTATCAAAGTCCTGTACCAGAGTGGTACATTTATTACAAAAGATGAATCTACACTGACCCATCTTTAGGACCCAAAGTCCATTTATATGAGGGTTCACTCTTGGTGTATATTCTGTGGGTTGTGACAAATACAATGACTTGTATTCACCATTACAGTGTCACACAGTAGTTTCATTGCTCTAAAAATACCCTCTCTCCCTGCTCAGCCTTGACAACCATGGGTCTTTTTAGTATCTCCATAGTTTGCCTTTTCCAAAATGTTACGTGTGTAGCAGGAATCATATGTTATATAGCCTTTTTAGATAGATTTTTTTTTGGCTTAAAAAATTTAAGTTTCCTTCCTGAGTTTTCATGGCTTGATAGATCATTCCTCCTTAGTGCTCAGTAATATTCCACTATGTAGATGTAATACAGATTATTATTTCTCCATTCACCTACTGAAGGACATTTGGTTTCTCCAAGTTTGGGCAGTTATGAATAAAGCTGCAATAAACATTTGCCAAGCAATTTTTTGTTCCCTGCCAGTCACTTAACCTCTTTGGGGTTCAGTTTCCTCAATCTGTAAACTGTACATGATGATTTCTAAGGATTCTGAGGTTTGAGATGATATAGTTATCTGGATAAAAATCATGAAATATTATGTTATACTGATTATGAATAACTTTTGTAGGCCTTTATGCTGAAAACATTATAAGTTGGCAAAGCCTTCCTGGTAGAAAGCAATCTGGTCCTGTATAAACTAAAATTATACTCTGTTCCGATCATTCTGTTTTGGGGGTATACTTCAAGTAAACCCAAATGGAGGTTATAAAATAACATTTTTTTCTTTAAGCAAAGATTTTCATAGAGTAATTTATTATTTATTTTTAAATATTGTATTTATTTAGAAAGAGAATGCATGCATGTGCATACAAGTAGGGGGGAGGGATACAAGAAGAGGGTGAAGCCAACTTCCCACTGAGCAGGGAGCCCTATGCAGGGCTTGATCTCAGGACCTGAGATCCTGACCTGAGCTTAGGCAGCTGCTTAACCGACTGAGCTACCCAGGCACCCCCATAGGGTAATTTATTAAACAAAACAAAACAAAAAAACCTATGGAAACAATTCAAGTACCCTGTAATGGGGAAATGCAGGGTAATTGTGTGAGGGCAGGGACCATGACTATTCAGACTGAAGTGTGCTTAGCACCTCACTCAGTGTGGTGTTCCAAATATTGGCTGAATGTGAAAATGCTGAAAAAGAACTTAGGGGAGAGAGAAGACCTTTCACTGAATATAAAAGATTAGATGGCATTCTGCTTTTCCTTTGATTTGCTGCTTCGCCTCTCTCATGGCTTCACTCAGCTGTTACCAGCTCTTACCTGCTGGACTCCATACTTGCTCCTTTACTGACCCCAGTGAATGTCTTAGGCATGTGATATAGCAGCCATAATGTAGTGGCTTCTCACTTGGAAAAGGACATCACCGTGGTTGGAAAGGAGTAGACCGTGTGCCCCCATTTTGCCAGGACAGTCTCAGTCTGTGCTTGATGTCTCACTGCAAATCGTAATAGCATCTTCCACTCTTACAGGTGGCTGGGTTCAGACAGCAGGGCGCCATTTAGCTAAGGGTCTGCCTTTTTGTTGTGAAACATTTGCTTGATTTTTCAGTTCAGTTTACGTTAATAAAAAAATTTTTTTTTAATGCTCAGTGTATGATTGTGAGATACAAAGAAAATTCAGATAAGGCCCAGTCACCACAGAATTTCACTTTAATGCTTTTTCCTCTTTAGTTTATTTTGGTAACTCATAGCCTCCTTTGGAATCAGAAGTGTTCCTAGGTCCAAGCTTCTGCCCTGGCCTCATCAATTTTTTTTGGTTTGCCTCTGGCTTCATGCCTTTCTCTCCCTTGGAACTTAAAGGAATACTCTTTTAAGAACCTGTGCTCCTACCACGTGGCACTCTGGGTGTTTGGGATGATGGAATTCCTCACTCAAACCCTTTTGAGCTTGCTTCTAGGCTCTCTTCCCTTGGATACATGTACACAAGACCCCTCACAGTGCCTGCTAAACCAGGGATGGGAGGAGAAGGGAATGGATGGCAGGTCAGTGGCAGGAGGATGGCCAGGCTCCCTGCAACCTTACACGTTGCAGAATTCAACCCTGCTTTTCAGGGTTACTTTCAATGTATATTCTTCAAAGTAGGAGAATAGAACATATTTTTTGTAGTAGTTTATTAGCTTGATTTACCGCTTTCAATATTTAAGCATGATATTTGAATGTCCAGTTACATTCTTGCCATGAATCCCACAGATACCAGGGGCAGGCCCACTCATAGTAAAACCTAGAATCCTTACCATGACACATGAGATCATACATAATCTGCTCTTGCCCCTACCCTGCTCATTGCAGCTGCGCTGGCTTCCTCATTGTTCCAGAACAGTCCAGGCATGTTCCCATCTCAGATCTTCACACTTCCTGCTGCTGCCTCTTGGAATGCTCTTCTTCCAAGTACCCATGTGACCTCTTCCCTCATGTCCTTCAGGTCTCCCTCCCTCCTCGCTGCACCACCCCTACAAGCAGCACCCCCTCCCCACTGCCATCATTATTTTATCAGTGAAACCTCACCGGGCTAATCTTTCCAAAATTTTACTATCCCCCAAATACTGACTGTTTCCTTCCCTGCTTTACTTACTTCCCTTAACATGCATCACTATAAAAAGTTAGAATAAAAAGCTAAACTAGGTCCCTCCCCTAAATATCTTTCTTTTAACCCCCATTAGATATAAAATGTTTTTTCCTTAAAAATTTTCTATTTTAGAAAAAAAATTTCTATTTTAGTTTTTATGTCTTTTTTGGTATATTTTTTTATTGTAGTTCGATTTGCCAATATATAGTATAACACCCAAGTGCTCATCCCATCAAGTGCTGCCCTCAGTGCCCATCACCCAGTCACCCCATTCCCCTGCCCACCTCCCCTTCACTACCCCTTGTTTGTTTCCCAGAGTTAGGAGCCTCTCATGTTGTCACCCTCTCTGATATTTCCCACTCATTTTCTCTCCTTTCCCCTATAATCCCTTTCACTATTTTTTATATTCCCTGTATGAATGAAACCAGAGTTTTTATGTCTTAAGGTCATTTATGTATCCACTTTAAAGAATCACATAGATCTCCAAGTCTAGTTATTTAAAGCTGCAGTTCCTATACCTTGCCCTAAATTTTTTAAGGGTAACCATTTTCAGCTCTCTTAAATGATACTTTTGGTATTTCCCACCATAACTATATAACAAACATATTGCTACTTCCTAACTTTTCAGTTTTAGGCATTACCAGTTTACTTACTCTGTAGGGGATGAGAACTAAGCTTCCCCATGCACATACACACATGGTCAGCTGTCAGCTTTCCCTCTTCCCAGTATTTAGTTGTGATTTTGGATAGGTCAAGCTTCGGTGTTTTTAAAACTGTTAAATGCCCCTCACAGCTGAGCCATGTTGTATACTGTGACTACTTTTCCTATAGTATTTTATTTTTCCTGGAATTAAAAACTATCATTATTTTGATTTGTTTACTTTCCTAGGTTACTAGCATCAGTGCTCCCTCGACTGCCCTAGTTATGTGTATCTTCTTTGAGTATGTTCACATTTCTACATGCATTGTTTTCTTTTCTGAGTCTTCAGCTCTTTTAAAATCTGGATAGATGTTCTTACGATCAGGCCTAGCTTGACTAAAATCATAGACACACAAGAAGTCTTGTTTATTCCTTTTTTTTTTTTATAAATTAATTTTTATTGGTGTTCAATTTACCAACATACAGAATAACACCCAGTGCTCATCCCGTCAAGTGTCCCCCTCCGTGCCCGTCACCCATTCACCCCCACCCCCGCCCTCCTCCCCTTCCACCACCCCTAGTTCATTTCCCAGAGTTAGAAGTCTTTATGTTCTGTGTCCCTTTCTGATATCTCCCACACATTTCTTCTCCCTTCCCTTATATTCCCCTTCACTATTATTCATATTCCCCAAATGAGTGAGAACATACACTGTTTGTCCTTCTCCGATTGACTTACTTCACTCAGCATAATACCCTCCAGTTCCATCCACGTTGAAGCAAATGGTGGGTATTTGTCGTTTCTAATGGCTGAGTAATATTCCAGTGTATACATAAACCACATCTTCTTTATCCATTCATCTTTCAGTGGGCACCGAGGCTCCTTCCACAGTTTGGCTATTGTGGACATGGCTGCTAGAAACATCGGGGTGCAGGTGCCCCGGCGTTTCATTGCATCTGAATCTTCGGGGTAAATCCCTAACAGTGCAATTGCTGGGTCATAGGGCAGGTCTATTTTTAATTCTTTGAGGAACCTCCACACAGTTTTCCAGAGTGGCTGCACCAGTTCACATTCCCACCAACAGTGTAAGAGGGTTCCCTTTTCTCCACATCCTCTCCAACATTTGTTGTTTCCTGCCTTATTAATTTTCCCCATTCTCACTGGTGTGAAGTGGGATCTCATTGTGGTTTTGATTTGTATTTCCCTGATGGCAAGTGATGCAGAGCATTTTCTCATGTGCATGTTGGCCATGTCTATGTCTTCCTCTGTGAGATTTCTCTTCATGTCTTTTGCCCATTTCATGATTGGATTGTTTGTTTCTTTGCTGTTGAGTTTATTACAATAGGACATCGGTCAGTCACTTCAGATATTCATTACTGTGTGAACAAGTAATGAAAATGTGACTATGTTTCTTGAGTTTCTGTATGGTTCTCTTTCATGTATTGTAATTAAGACACCTTTTATTCCAAAAAATACAGAATGTTTTCTTATATTTCATTGTATTACAAAGAACATATTAAGAATTACTGGAAAAATTTTAATAAATTTATGTATGTATATTTTTGTATTATTTCTAGGCTCTTAAAATTAGAGAGATCTGTAATTGCCCACCACTTTCGGGACCAGACCCTCGATTACTATTCAAACTCAGCATGAAGCATTTTCTGGAAGAATCGGAGAAAGAAAACCTAAAAATCACTGCTGAGAAACAGAAAATGGATACTCTTACCATTCAACAACAGAAGCAAATACCTTTAACATACATAGTTGAGAAAAGAACTGGCAGTTGAATTAAAATTTATGAGACATGGGATATATGAAGAATGTATCAGCCCTTACCATTTTTATGTTACTTTTTAAAAAATGATGTTTGAGATAAAAAAATGTATATTCAGGGTCAAATCATGTATATTACAAGTATTATCTAAATTCTTCAAGGTATTTTCATGAAATATTGATGTATTTTAATCTATTTTAAAATATCTTCAATGAGGAAAATGTCACAGAATAAATTTATATTCCACATTTTACTCTGTCTCATACTTGCTTTTCATTTGGAAGGCAGACCTCTAGTGGATGAAAAATCAGAATGTGCAGTAATTCCTAATGTAGAGAGAGTTCTGGCCGAGCCTAAACTGGGATTCAGAGTCTGGGTGGTTATGATGAACTGGGAAACTGACCATCTGAAGCATCCGTTTGCAGAAATTGACTTGCACTGGGATAGGATTATGTGGAATAGGGGACCTTGGGATGGAGAATTTCCTGGCCCTCGCTTATGGACTCTGAGGGGAAAAGGGCTATCTAGGCAGAAGCTAAACTGTTTCCACAGGAGGGAAAAGTAGTGACCTTTGTGGTCCAAGTGACAGAGTGAGAAACAAAATGGCAAGAGAGGGTCACTTCCTTGCAAACATAGTGTGCCGCTGACAGTCCAAAGTCCTAACAGAAAGTTGTATCATCTTGGCTCCTTTACAATAGTATGATTTGGGAATCTCAGGGGTTCTCAGAGAAGCCAGTGACCCCGTTCTCATTGAGGGAATACCCAGGAGGGGCAGGAGAAGGTGCAGCCCCCAAGTTGATCTCCCTGGGCAGCAGACATCACCTAAAGGCTGGAAGAAGATGGGGCAGGGAGTACAAGGCACAGCCCTAGCAGTGCTCAGAAATTACTGTTACAGAAGTCTGGAAATAAGTTTCTAAAATGTATTATTATTTGTATAAAATTATCTGTACTCCCAAACTGGTGAAGTCTAGTGATGTTAAGTTTCTATTCACAAGAGGGACATTATTCTTGAAACACGTTATATTAAGTAGTTTGTTGGAGAATTAAAAGGGAAAGAAACTATCTTTTATTGACTGTGTACTATGAGCTGGGACCCATGAAGGAGGTTGCAGCGGTTTCCTTTCATGGTGAGAACCAGGCTTGGAGAGGTTATGTAGTATACCCGGTGCCTCTCACCTAGAAAGAGCAAACCTAGATCTATCTGACTGCACATCTGTCCATCTTCACAACTCGCAGGTACCTAAAGCTAAGCTATCAGAGAAACAGGCACCATCTCCAGGTGTGTGTTAGCTTTCTCATGTGTGGCTTCAGTCAGGTAAAAATCTAATTATAAAATCAGGATCACTTCCCTGCATGATGTCATTTCAGGTGTTCCTTTTCAGACCCTTCTACCAAAAACTGTACATGAAGAGCCTGGGTGAGGCAGGTTAGCAGATAAGAACCTCTCCCTCTGCCTGTAGAAGCTGGTGACTCCTCATTTGGGATGTGTCCTGACACATTTCCTTAGACAAAATAGGTACCTAGCTGTTAAGAGAATTTCAGGGGCTCTTTAAATTTTTTCAGGCTTACCAGAGATTGCTGGTAAGGAATGTCTTGATCTGTACACAAGACAACACTTGCAAGGAGGAGATTCAGATTAACTGTTCTGGTCGTTGTTCACACTCTGACCATGATTGCAGTTCTGTCAGAGGCTCTCCATAACATGTAAAGTCATTTGGAGAATGTCACCTAGAGGTAAACAGTAAAACACACCGTTAGATTTCCCTGTAGATTTCCTAAGAAAATAGTGTAGTGGAGGCCCTGGTCTATTTTTCCTTCCATCCCATTATCACATCTAATTGTACTGTTCAAACTTTCCAGGAAACATATACAAGTTGACAGAGCACAAAATATATAGAGAGAATACCTTATAGGGCATATAAAAAAGATATTTTTTTTAACCCATGGGATCAATAAATGTAAAAGAAATGTTACATTTCAGCTCAGGGTTTTAGGAGAACTTAAATAGCAGTTGAAATGTAATATGTATAACGCATACTCTAAGTTGTATATGGAAAAGACCTAAGTTCTGCATTTAGTTGCATACCATACTGTCAGGGCTTTTCATATACCCAGAGGATTTAGGTGTCATTGGCTAGTTGCTCAGTTGTTAGGAGCATGATGCCAATAAATACAGGGCACAAATTCAATCTAATCTCTCTAGAACCTGGGCAGTTGTACAACTGTCCTCAGAAACCAAACTGAAAGAACAATATATATATTTACTGCTATATTGCTAATACCTAATAATTTTTGGTGCACTGTGGGTATTCAATTAGTATTTTACTGATACTGTACACTCAACATCATCTGGTCAAAGAATAGTGAAAAACAAGAAAAAAGAAAAAGAAAAAAAAGAATAAAAAAAGAAAGAAGAAAGAAAGAAAAGAAGAGAAAAGAAAGGAAGGAAAACACACCTTATGAAATCTGTCTCTTTGTAGCCATGAGACCCTGAGCAAAACATTTCACCTCTGACCCTCACTTATTCATTTGTAAATGGGGATAAGAAATCTTACCTCATAGACTGAAATGATGAAGGCAAATGATGTACTGAAAGCATTTAGCATAATGTGTAGAGCTCCAAACAATAAAAATATCCATGATTTATTGAATGCTTATTTTGTACCAAGCACGGTGCTAAGCATTTTTCAAACACTGTTGAACCTCACTGCAGCCCTATTTGTGATAGGTAGTCTATTACCCCCCATTATACTCCAGGAATCTGAAGTTTAGAGGGTTAATGAAATTTGTTCATTGTTACTCGATGTATTTAAGATTATTTTACTTCCAAGAACAGGAAAAAAAAAAAACACAACCCTCAAACTCAAGAAAATGTATTGCCTTACCTAACAAAAAAGCCCAGAAGTACACTAGCTTTGGACATGATTTAGTCCAAAGGATCATGATATCAGAGCAATGGTTCTTTTCCTCTGCAATTTTTCTCAGCTCTGGCTTCACTCTTCTCTGCTGATGTCAAGATAGCTGTGCAGCTGCCAGAGTTACATGCTTCATTCACATCCCGTTGAGAAGAGTGGCTCACCTTGCAAATACTGACACAGAACCCTCAATACTAACTGCACCCTCTAAAGAGCAACCCAGAAGCAACCACAGGGGATGGGGTGATCCTGCCTGGCTGGAGCTGAGGATGGTTACAGTCAGTGCCAACATTTATCCTTTTTCAGCAGGCAAAGAAACAAGATCATTCTTTGTAGATTTGGTCCAAAATCATATTTAATCTGAGCAAAAACAATGTAACATAAGTTTTATGTTGACATGGTAGTAAATCTGCATTAGAATATGGGCTTTATCATTTACAACCTGAAGTATCTCCTACCCTCAAAACCACCCTATGAAACCGGAAGGATAAGTGGTGGTATTTACTTAGGAAGGAGAAGACGCAAGCTTGGAAGGATTACGCAAGTTATCCAAGAATGCACCTCAAGTCGATGGCTGGACTGGGATGAGAAGGAAAGGATTCTTGATTTGTGATCCAGTGCTCCTTGAGCAATACCACATTCTTTGGAGAGGGAGGTATTACCTACATTTTTTATCTGGAAGCGCAGAGATACTAAGCAACTGTGTGCCCAGCACTACTCAGCTCATAATGGCAGAACTGAGATTCAAACCCTCATCTTCTGACCCCAAAACCTGTGCTCTTCATCCGGTTACTACCACTTTAGTTGGCAGATCTCATAAAGGAAGTGGCAATGAAAACGGCTCATTTCCCTTCACCCCTCACTTGTGAACCGTAGGGCCAATACCCTCCTTTCTCTTAAAAGCATTCATTTTAATACTCTATGACAGGTGGCAAAAATATTCATTTTAAGAGTATTGATATACATGAGGGATACAATTCCTGTGAATCATCTTATGACATGTTTTTATTAGGGTCTGGAGAGCTCCTTAATCTGTGCTGAGAAATACCTCTCACTTTATTACTGGAAAGAACTATGTCAGTGTAGAGCCCCTAACTTCTAACAGAAAACCAGTAGCCTTCAGAGGTAGGCCAGTGACTCCCAGCCTTTCAATCACCAAGGACTCCTTTTACCTGACCTGACTGCATGGACTTTGACAGCACAGAGTTCTGTCTTGAAGAGGTGGAGTGTCTAGACTCATGACCAGGGTTTCTTGGGGTGCCAGCTGTTTAGGGGTTGAGTTAGTTGGGCATGGGGTGTAAGGCACAGTGTGGTCCTGCCCCCGTGTCTCAGAATTTCTGTGATATCATCAAAGACCAATCAGGACCTCTGACTGTCATGTGATCTCTGGTATTATCAAAATTCCAGCCAAAAGAAAAATTTATGATTTTAATTAGTCTGGGTGGCCTAATTATGTGAGAGAAAATATAAAATTTTTAGTTAGGCTCTTTGAAATATTAAGCATAGCTGGCAGAGTCCCAGTGCCATCAGTGAGGACCACAAGGGCCTGGGACCTCATCCTGGTCAACAGGGATCTAAAGTCAGATTGCTTTTTTTTTTTTTAGACTATAAAAGAAAGTAAAATTGACATGTATTAATTTTGACCAATATATTAAAGTAGAACTATATTTTTGTGGGTTAGGAATAATGGATGATCTACCTAAAGGTCTATATTTAAGGATGTCTTTAAAGTAATTACTGTTTTTGTACAGAAACCAACAAGTTGAATTTTATTTCTTCTGCAACTATTCCTCTGATGCTATAGTAGCCTTGAGAGAATCAAGGACAATATGACTAGTCTTGTTTCTGCAGGGATTGGGGGAGGGGGGAGGACATGAGATAGTAACATCTGCCCTGATTACTTCCCAGGATTATTATGGATTTTGAATATAGTTATGTGTATATACTTTGTACAGTATCCAAACTGCTATACTTCTGCTGGTTCTTATATTCCAGTACTGTTTTAGTCTGGGCTTTAAGATTATTAGCTAGGAGAGATCATTTCCAAAAGGATGGCCATTGGCCTGATCTAGTACAACACAAAATTGAAGATATGTAAGACAAAGGGAAGCCTATTTATGCCATGTTTTGTTTTAGTCTGACTTATGAGTGTGTGTGTGTGTGTGTATTTAACCCAGTTATTCTATTAATCCTATAATGATCTTTGTCTAGAGAGTGTACCTGGTTTCCATCAATTTCTACTTTCTGATGCTTAAGTCAACATCTTCCTGGCCAGTCCACTCTTCAGATGATGGACTGAGAGAATGAGGATTCATGTTTGGCGAGT